CTTTTTATCTGAACTGGCTGCACTAATTCAGAGTTTATCTTTCTTCTTCCAGTGTAAGAAAGAAAGATAAACTGTGAACTAGTTCAGCCAAAAAGAACAGGCCTAAAATATACTCTTGCGCATAAAAATGTTTAACCAATGAGGATGATGAAAGTATTATATAGCCGGCCATATTAATATGTCAGCCAATCAGCGTTTTTCTCGCGATATTCAAAATGTAACATAAATAAGGAAAGAACAATTCATAAATTTATTTAATTGAGAATTACTATTGTGACTTTTATTATTAATAATTATTAAATCCTCTATTATCAAATGACATGTCACGTGGTAATAAATTTGTTTATTTTACTATTATTTTTCAATATGGAGGTAACTTGTTCCAACACCATATCTGCATAGAATGGATCCAGATTGGGTCTATTTTGACGAGCACATCTTGTTTCTTTACACCATGATACTATTAAAGATGGTCAGTCTTATGTTGGATTCAGACCAACGCGATGACGTGACACGTGATGCGCGATATCCAATGAGCGTACAGTTTTTTTCGGAAGCGCGTCATCGCGCTGGTCTGAATCCAGCATTACAGGAGTTAGCATTACCACCAAAGCTCGGGAATAATTGAAGAATGTTGACATTATCGACCGTTTTGATTGTACTGAGGATAACAAAGGGAGGATAATGTTTATTATTGTTATTATGACGGATTTAATTTTAAATTAATAGTTCTTTTACGAGCACAGTATCCTCAGTACAGTCAAAATGATCGATAATATCAACATTCTTCAATTATCCCCGAGTTCCTTTGGTAATGACATTAATTCCTGTAAGTGTCGGTCCACAATAAGTATTTAATCTTTAAGCCGTAAGAAATTGACCAATCGATTATTCTTTTCATATTAGATTATAATTGGTCAATTTCTTACTTCTTAAAGCTTAAATCACCTGTTGTGGATCGAGACTAATACTGATTGTTTTTAACAGTACCTCGTCGGTGTGCAGATATAAAAATAATAAAAAATGAAAATTCAAAAAAGAAAAGAGAGTTATAATTAAAGTTCTCTAATTTCAAATCACAGAGAAAATTTAATCTTTCTTTGATCTACATTTATATTCTAATCAACCATAACCAATCTATTTTTTTGCTATTTTCTAAAGAAAATATATTGAGTTTAAAGAAAAAGTATATTGAATTTAGAGAATTTCAGCTATTTGAAAATATAAATAGAATTTAACTTAAAGAGAAATTTAATTCAAATTTTATATTTACATAATAATGCAGTTTTATATTATCATTTCGAGAATTTTTAATACATTATTAAAAATTAAAAATATATTATTAAAAATTACTGGAACGTTTCTCTTAAACATTTAACGTGTAGAAAATCATTTTTAACAAACGTGTCATAAATATAAAAAAAATTATTTAATTTTTTCTTAAGGTTTTTATAAAAACAAATTGATTTAACAAAATTAGCATTAACATTAATATTCTATAAAAGTGTGTGTCTATAATAGTATTCTATAAAAAGTATAGAATTGCAAGATAAATTGAATAATCATACTGGGTGATTCGAATTTTTTAAATAAAACTATACACACTGGCGCATATAAAAAAAAAGACCCTTATATATTTACATTTGCTTTTATAATATACATTTCGTAAATACTACATAATTCAGTCAACGATCTTTTGATTTAAATGGCTTACTTTTATTTAGCTATCGCCTTCTAGAAACGTTCATAATCGCTATACAATATCGTGTTGTCGTATTTTGCTAGAACTAGATAACAGGCAAGCGCTGTAAACATTTCTCGTTCGGACAGGGGCGAGAGTCAGGTCGCTCCGACTGATGTGAGATCCTAGCGAGTAAGTGTTTTATTATTCCAGCGGCCGCTGCCACGAATACTGTCGTGTTCAATAACGTATATGGATGCTCTGTTCGCGCAGATGATGATCAGTGATGAACGACAATGACCAGCGGGACACTGGTCACGTCGCCGTGACGTCAATAGCGGCAGTAAACGCTAAATAATAATATCACAGTGTGGGTTTCTCGTCCACGGGCTCCTCTTTTATGGGATGACTGCATTCCATTAGCGCGGGATTCGCCACGGCGATTATGTTGTCTCCGCGCGAGGCTATCACCTACACATAATTTATGTACGAGCCATTAGCGAGCCATGGTGAAATAGCCGCGGCGACGTCTATCGCCGTTTTTCCTATTATTCTAAAGAAGCATACATTATTCAAGAGTTACAAAAAAAAGAAAAGGACGTAACAGATAGAATAAAAAAAACTTGCTTGGCGCATTTAATCGTTTTTGCAAGCAGTTCTTCTAACGCAAGAATGACGAGAGATAAAAGATTGAAGACACAACGAGGACTTCGGATTGCCTGCTCGTCGCTCACCTTTAGATTAAAGTCACCTTCTTTGTCAGTGTTCTCAGCCTCCGCCTCATTTGTATCCTGAAACATACGCGAATATTACGTTGCCATTCACTCGTTTTTAACTTCGTGTAAAAGAGGACTTTTACAACATGGATGGATCGTTTTTTCAATACGTACGTGCATAGACGAAGATTCTTCGTTGGAAAAGGAAAATTGGCTATCCGAATCGCTGATTTCCTCCACGCTAGCGCTGAATATTCCATTATTATTCTTCTTCCTCCAAACTGGACTGAAACAATGCGAATATCTGAACAGTTTGCACTCTTGTTATGTATGTAATAATAATACGAATGTCACCTATATAATTCATGTATGAAATATAAGAGACAATCTGATGATTTTTAATTATTAATATATTAAAAAGTAAAATCAGAACCCACAATATAAGCAAACAATACTATGATATTTATTTTCCAAATTAAATTTTGTAAGAAAAATATGGATCGAATAACAAACATGAAAAAAATCTAATAATAATAATCTAATTTATTTTGATCATCAAAAAAATAATCACGTTTTTATTAATTTTGTTTTTTAATAAATTTTAAAAAAATGTTCATGTATAAGTTACAGAGAAAGATAAACAATTTTTTTCAGCACTTTATTATTTATTTTATTTATAATTTTTCACATAATATTAATATTATAGCTACTTTTGAATGAATTTAATTGCTTGGATTTATGTTTCTTAATTTATAATTAATTTTCTTTAACTTATGTAACGTATCGTCTAGAAGAAAATAATACTCATGATTTAGCTGCATTCATAAATCTTTTTTATCCATCTTATTTTTAATGTAAAGACAAAAGAATTGCGTAAGAAGCTGATTAGGGATAATCACCTCGATGACCTGTGTCTCCTCGTGATGGAATTGTTAATGTCCGTTCCAGAACAACGTAGATCCAATTCCTCCTGAAACGGTGAACTGCTACAGACAGTAGGAGTAGCAAATCGAATGTGCATGAAAGAAAGGAGGAAAGTAAGGGAAGAGAGGCACAGAGAGATGGAACGTAAGGAACGGCATGCTCAGATAAGCGGGCAGATGAACACGACTTGGGATACCAGGCACCGAGCGTAGAGTCCAAACAAGTCGTGTCGAATGAATCTACGGATCGATTTTTGTCATCATATCTAACAAGCAACATGTAATATAAAGAGAATTCCCACATGTTATTTTTTCACAAAAAGTTTCACGCACGTTCAAATTACAAACGTCTATTTAACATGCAGATTGTGATGTTTTAGTAGGAACGCATGCGATATAAACAAATGAAACTGTAACTGATATTTTACCAAAAGTAATTGCGTTCTAGGATTACAAAAAAAATCAAATGATAAAAAAAGAACAGAGCTATTTTTCTTGTGACATACAAATTTTTGTTAGTGAGAATTAAGTTAAAACATTAGCATGCTGTGAGTCATTAAAAAAATTAGCAGCTTTTCGCAAACTAAATTTAGGAGATATAAATAAATAACATAAATAAGTGGAATTATGCAATTTAAAATAAGCTTTTTAGATCCATTTAAAACAGAGTAAAGTCTAAAATTTTAGACTTAATTACCAAAACATCAAACATTAGAATTGAAAGTCTTAAAAATTATTTCAAATATTAATAACTATATAATGTCTGTATAATAAAAATTAAAAATTTTTTATGAGAGTTATGAGAGAGAAATGAGAATGGATTTTTACATTTTTTTATAAAAATATAAAATGATAGATTGATTAAAAAATTTCCAAGTGATCATGGAGATGATTTGTTGACGGAACAAGTTTGTACATTGCTATCGATATAACTTCAACAAAATTAATATAAATCTTGCTCTCATAATTGTTGCATTTTTTAACATCAACACACATATTTCATTGATTGATTTTATTGAAATAACGCTAAGTGACACGACCAAATGACTTATTTTGGACTTTGGCTTTATAGATAACATAAATATTAACAAGTCTTCACAGAGTTACGTCAGAGTGCCTCGGGAGCGCCGCAAAGTTGCAAACTGTGTAAGATTTCAGAAAGATATCTACAGATCTCACGGTTTCAATTCGATTTAGTGGAGAAAACGCAAGCCATGCACGCGTGCTTTTGCAACTATACTTGACCTTTTTTCGCGTCCGTTCTATTTCGCGCTTTTGTAAGTGAGTGCAGGGTTAATGCGTGGTGATGTCTACGCGGCGGGCGTACGGTTAGTGATTAGCGGCCATGCGGGTGCGATGAGTGCACAATGAGTGATCTATTTTTGTGGCTGGAGTGATCTAACCTGCGTCGCGTCCTCACCCTCACCCTCCAGTTCGTGCTTCCGGCGTTTCGAGCGCTCGCCATCGGTCTCCTCCCCGTTCTCGCGCGGCCTCGTCATCGACAAGCTGCAAGAACGACGGAGGACAGAGCTACATAAGTAACGCTTGTAGGTTGAATCACATACCCAGACAGCCAAATCTGTCGAAAACAGATTTTGCAAAGTGCCTGCTACACATTTTATCGGCAGAATGTCAGTAAGAACGTAAAAAAAAAAAAAAAAAAATAAGACTTTAAATAAAAACAATGCGTTTCGTTTAATTGGCTATTAAATGATAGATTTTTGAAATCTCAATCTTGTCGTGAATAATTTATTAACAAGCTATTAACAACCTACTCGCTGATTTAGTTAGAATCCCATTCAAGAAAATACATATATTTGTGATCGCGACTTCAATTGGAATGTTAAATAATTTATTTATTTATTTATTTATTTGCTAAATAGATTTAGAACCTATTAATATTTTTCTCGAGCTGAATTTTGCTTCACAGACTTCTTGGTGTATCCTACAATTAGGATCGAAATAAGTCTGAACTTTGAGTTCCTGAATTCACCTGATTTCACAAGATAAAAGTAAACTTTACTTACTATTGACTCTTGGAGTAGTGGTAACCGGAATCACGGACGACACGGCGTGCCAGGGGGAACAGCTCGTCCCTCCTGGTGAGGAGGGCAGGCACGAATCTGCAGATCTGCGCCGCCGCTTCGTTCACCGACACCTCGTGCAATGTGAGAGGCTTCTCCGGCTTTCTCTTGCAGTCGAACCTGCCGTAAATCGCCGCGTACTTTCGGATCTCGTCCATTTTGCGTGGATCACTGTCAGACATCGTCATTACCACCTATAACGACAAAAGGCAGTCCTCGCTGTTTTAAAAAATATCTCGTTAAATTAAATTAAATAAAAATTAAAAGCTTCGCCGCGCAACAGTCTCGTTAAGCGATCATATTTAAGAGATGAAATTATTCATCTGGATGTAGCAATTGAAAGCGAGCCTGTTTATCCGCGTAGCGAAATCTACTACTAGCGAAGCTACTTCGTATTTCGAGCACGCCTGCCGACCAAAATTAACGAGTCACCTCCAGGTTCTTGCAGAGTTTTTTTCTTCACGTTGTGGGGTTTGGGATCGAGGGGCCTTATGGTGGCGACAAGCCTCTCCGCGGCCTCGGCGAGCCGCTGCACCTGTGACTGCAGAAGAGTCGGCGTCGGCTGCTCGGGCTTGCAGGTGCACCGCCGCTGCCGCTGCCGCTGCCGCCGCCGCCGCCGCCGCCGCCGCCACCACCGCTCGGACTCGGCGTGGTTCCGCTGCCACACGAAGACTCGCACGTTCCTACCTGTACGCACGATGCAAACGTGAGCGGCAAAATAAAAAGTTAGCGATGCAGACAAAAGTTCGTTAAAAAAGACTAGAATTCTTGTTAATTATAATATATCTTTGTGCATCTTGATGCACAAGCTCGATTGAAAAATAATTATTCCTCATTCACAATTTAATTTCTTAGGCATTTAGGTCAAATTAATTCTCAAAAATATTAATATTATTTTTTAATATTATTTAATATTATTAATGTTTTTATATTAAGTTCCAGAGTTTTTTATATCTGTTCTCGATGACGAATCTTTACCTGTAATACATTGGGGCTGTGAGTAGTCACGTAAGGTATAGATGTGTTCGGACTCGGACTCTGACGGAAAGTCGTGGAGGACGCCGATGCGGACACACTGGTGACCGGCACGACCGGGCTGGCGCTCCGGCAAGGTAGAGGCGTCAGTGACACGTGGGGCGTCGTCGACACGTAGGACGCCGGCGTCAGGGAAGTCTGGGAGGCCGCGGCGAAGCCAGTTGGCAGGCTCTGCATCTGCGGCCGCGGACTCGCACACGCGAAACCCACGGCGGCGACGGCGACGGGACTCTTGGCGGCCGCTGCGGCGGCGACGACGGCGGCTGCGTTCGTCGGCACCACCGGCGTTTGGAACAACGCTGCGAGGATGCAGAATTTCAAGTCACGTGATCATCAAATCTCACATATCTCACACATGAACGTTCAACGATAAAATCTCGCGGGGTTACATATAGTCGAGCGATGGGACTTGGAATCGCATGAGAAGCATAAAGCGTGGATACTTTACAGGGATTAGTGAGCCACTCCTGCAGAGCTTTCTGAAGCCTCCTGACGTGCAGCGGCTTGCTCGCCATGCCCACCAGCGCCATAATCTCCAGGAACTCCTCCTCGCCCGCGTCGCACAGTTGTTGCACGTCGTCGCCTCCTGTAATGTGACATCAGCGAATTATTCCTTGAATATCGTATCATATCCTGAGCTTTTACTGCGGATTCTGAATTTTCAAATCATTTCCGTTTTTAATTACAAATCAATGCTCTCCTATAATTTTTAAGTTATGAAAAAGAAATTCAAGAAGTGAAGGATTTTTTAAAAACTACATCTCAAAGGTACAAATCAATTATATATAAAATCATACTTTTCAAGCGATTTGAAATAAATGTCATTACAACAAAAAGGCTTTGCTCGACATTTATATTATAGAAGAGATATAATTTGTAATAGTCTACTTACCCATCTCGAGGAGCGTGTCGTAGTAGCCCAGCAGCGAGGCACGCTGCATCACTCTGTATAGCTGCAGCTCAGCCTCGTTCTGCGGCACGGAAGTCTGAACCACTGGAAATCGCACACCACGATCGTTAAGGAGATTCATTAAAAGAGACCGCGGCGCAATTAGTGGCGAGGGATCGGTCCCGACCGATCGATGATATCTTTTCTTTTGGTTTATTGTCGACGACGGTAATAATCGGCGGACTCTCGGCCTCCGCCATCCTCTCCTCCTCGCTCACCCTCCTTGTTCACGATCTCGACAATCAATTATGCCGTAATTAGACAGTCTAACAGGATATAAGGGTATCCCGTTAGTATTCTGTGGGCGGTCGGATCGAACCCAAGGACAATATACGAATATGCAGGAATGTGTACGTGCATTTAACATGCGTTAAATTTGATAACAATGCGATCCTTATTTGGTTTACTTGTGATAACGTACCGAACATATCTCCCGAGATATTTAAAACGTGACGTTATCATTCTTCGAGTCATATAACACGAAATAAAATCAGAAGTTAGAACAATACATTAGCGATAAAAAGGGAATCGAGAACCATTCTATCAGAAAACACCGTGTCTGGGCCGTCGACATTTACTAATCGCTGCTCACTCGAACACTTTTTCAGCAGACAGTTGAAAACCAGACAAGATCGGATTTCTCCGCTATTTAATATTCTTCAAGATAAAATGCGCTCCTGTGAAAATTTATTTCTAATATTCATTTCTTCTTATTACACATTTACTGTATGTTTTTACAAAATTAGTAAGCTTATGAATACTGTGGATTATATTTGCACAAGTTATGGAAGGATTTAACTCAGTTTATGAATAATCGCAATTACTACCCTTCTCCGTGGTCACCCCCGATCTTCCAGGCATTCGCGCCATCGTCGTCTTCGCCGTCGTGCCGGCACGATCGCGCGAGTTTGCCTCCTCGGACGAGAGGACGCCGAGGAGTGTCCGACTAGTTTCTTGCAAATTTCGAGGAACTGCGAGAAAAAGCGGCGTGCACACACGTACCGCGTATAAATTAATACCGGTGCCGCCGTTGGAGAGAAGGGAGATAGGGGGAGAGAAGAGCGCAGGGTAAAACCGAGAAAGAGGCCGTAGAGGCCGAGGTAGAGGAGGGCGGAAGACAGAGAGAGAGAGAGAGAGAGAGAGAGAGAGAGAGAGAGGCGACGAACGAA